AATCCAGCGCTGTCCTGGCAATGTCATTTGGCGGTCTACGGAGTGTGTGGCCCAGCCATCTCCATTTTCTTCGCCTTATTTGCTTTATGACATTTTCTTGGTTGCTTTGGTTCCATAAATTTTCATTGGAGATTCGGTTAGGCCAAAATATACGAAGGATTTTTCGTAACGCTCTATTGATGAAAACTTGTAATTGGTGTACTATGGGTGCTGATATCTTCCACGTTTCGCAGCCATACAGTAATACAGCTTTTACATTTGTGTTGAAGATTTTTAATTTCGTTTTAGTTGGGAAAATCCTGGATTTCCATATGTTGTTAAGCATGTTGTAGGCGTTGCGAGCCTTATTTATTCTTTCATGTACATCACGCTCTGTACCCCCATTACAGTCAATTATGCTGCCCAGATATACAAATTCCGCTACTCTCTCAATTTTCTGGTCGTTGATCATAATAGGTTGGTTGTTTCTGGTACCAAATCGCATTTCTTTGGTTTTGTTGGTGTTTATTTCTAGACCAACCTTCTTTGATTCTTCTTGTACTTTGTTTACTTGGAGTTGCATGTCCTGTTTTGTATGTGCTAGGAGGCATATATCATCAGCGTAATCTAGGTCTTCCAGTCTGTTTGTTAATCCCCAGTAAATTCCTCTATTAGAGTTTACCTTTGTTAGTACGGAGTCCAGTACAATGTTAAATAGTATGGGGGATAAAACACAGCCCTGCTTTACTCCGTTTAGCATAGCTATTGGGTCAGATGTTATGCCGTTGTGTAGGATTTTGCTTTCTGTGTCACTGTAGAGTTCTTTGATGAGATTTACTATTTTTTCTGGTATTCCTATTTCCTGCAGTGCTTTCCATATGGCCGTATGTGTGAGCGTGTCAAAAGCTCTCTTGAAGTCCACAAAGCACACAAAGAGAGGAGAGTTGAATTCCTGTGACTGTCTACATTATCTTGTGTTATTGGTCCACGCATGATCTGTTTGGTCTGAAACCAGGCTTGTTCCTTCCTCAACATTGGTTCTACACTGTTTGTTAGTCGGTTGTTTATAATTATTGCTGTTAATTTATTTATAGTATTCAGAAGTGTGATTCCTCTCCAGTTTTCGCAATATCTTCTGTTACCCTTTTTTGGTATCTTTATTATTAATCCCGTTTTCCATTCTTTGGGGAACTTTTCCTCTCTCCAAGCCCTTTTCAAGATTGGTTGGATTAGCTCTACCACTGTACCTGGGCAAGCTTTTAACAACTCTGGTGGAATATTGTCAGGGCCGGCTGCTTTGTGTGCTTTCAGTTTTTCTATGGCCATTTCTATTTCTTGCGTTGTTGGTTCGTTGGTGTTAATTCTCAGTTGGATATTGGGTATTAGGTTTTCTGCGTCTTCTGGTGGTGTAGGGACTACACTTAGAGATTCGCTAAAATATTCATGCCATCTTTTGACTTGTTCTTGTGGCGCTGTAATATCTTCACCTGTAGCACTTTTTACAATTGGATGGTGGGTAGTATATCTTTTATTGGCTAGTTGTTTAGTGATATTATATAATTGTCTCATGTTTTGATGTTCATCGGCGACTCGCGCTTTTTCGGCAAGATTTTCTGCCCACTTTCTTTTGTCTTTTTTTGCTGCCTTCTTGACAGCTTTATTCGCTTCTCTATAACTTTCTCTTAGTCGGTTCTTCTCTGCTGCTGTCTTGGAATTTAGTAATTCTAGATTAATGTGTTTGCGACGTTCTATTTTGTTCCACGTTTCTCTCGTAATCCACTGTTTCTTTACGTCTTTCTTTAGGCCCAGCACGTTTTCACTTGTTTCCACAAGGGCTTTGCTAATCGTTTCCCAATTTTTGTCTTGTCTTTCGTCGATTTTGGATCTCAGCTGTCGTGCGAATTCTACTTTCGTCTCGTTATTTTGTAGTTTCTCAATGTTGAACTTTTTTCGAATAGGTTTGTTCAGTTCTTTTCTATTCCTAGCTATTTTGAATCTAATTTCGACCATCATCAGGTAGTGATCACTGGCCGCATCTGCGCCTCTCCATGATCTGACATCTAAGAGAGATGTTCTCCATTGCTTGCTGATTGCAACGTGGTCGATTTGATTGTAGGTGCGATTATCTGGCGATTTCCATGATACCTTGTGGATTGTTTTGTGTGGGAACAAAGTCCCTCCAATGATTAGGTCATGGTTACCACATAATTCAATGAGGCGTTCGCCGTTGTTGTTTCTCTGGCCAGTGCCATGCTTTCCGATAACGTGTCCTAGGTTGGTGTTGTCAGTGCCAACCTTGGCATTGAAGTCTCCCATCATTATTTTTATATCGGATCTTTTAATTTGTTCTAATGTTGCTTCAAGGCATTCGTAGAAATCCTCTTTTTCTTGTTCTGTTGCTTGTTCTATTGGTGCATAGCACTGAATCAGTGTTACCAGTCTTAATTTGGTCCTAATTCTTGCAGTGATTATTCGCTCTGAAACTGGTTTCCATTCCACAAGAGAATTTTTTGTGACTTTACTAAATAGAATTCCTACTCCATTTTCATGTCTTCCGCCATCTGTTTTACCAGAGTATATCAGCAGGTCGCCTTCCATGTTGACGTGCTCTCCCGTCCCATTCCACCGTGTCTCACTGAGACCTAGTATATCGAGTTTATATGCTTTCATCTCTCTACAAATTTGGGCAAGGCGTGATGCTTGCATCATAGTTTTTATGTTCCAATATCCGATTCTTATCCGTTTACGTAAGCCAAAGATCGTTATCAAAGGATCCGTCCGGTTGTTCTCTGTAGAAGTTTCGAAAATCTAGTAATTTGAGGCGGATAGGTGATTGGCCTCTCGCGCCCGATTCTGATGCCGGGGCTGCCAGCTCTAGCCATCAGACTGGCCTCAGGAATTCCTGGAATGGGACCATGACATTTTCTTCGTGTTTATGGTACTAAGGTTATACCGCCTATACTCGGTCGTCAGAGCCTCGTTGGTTATTTAGCAGGGTGCACCGTGTAACCATTTGTTACCGCTCGAGCAGGTGAGGTTGACATTTGGGTCGTGATGTTATCGATGTTGGTTCGATCCCTTACACCCCATTTACACAGACTTACTCAGGTAGTATTTTTTTTTTCAGCAGCTCCAAGGCATAAAAATACATTAAATTTATTGCAAAAACTTTATTAAAAAAAAGGTATACCTAATGTGTATGTATTATTATAAAAAATGGTAAATAAAAATATTTTAGTCCTCTTCGTCACTTATTAAAGGATCGACCAAATCACCTTGGGCTGGTAGATCTTGAAAAAAATTACGATATACCGGAGGAAGTTACGGAAATAGTGACAAAATGTCTCTTTTTTTTCCAATGATAGTGGCAGTGGTTGTTGGTAAACCTGTTTTGGTATTAACGCAGATTCTGCAGAAGCACCTTTATGCAGATGGTGCTTTACACCTCTTTTTTAAGTCTATGGCCATAAAAGGCTCTTCTTCTTTCATATTATTTTTATAGAAAACTTTTAGTGGTTCTACGTCCTTCTAAACGTCTACGTTCTAAACGTCCTTCCAGACAAAACCAGCGGTAGTTTTTTTTGTAAATGATAATTCTGTTTTCAACAGGTCAGCATAATCAAAAAATAATTTCTTTTGCCATTTCTTTCACAATAAATGGATTTTTTTTCCCAGCCGTTCGAATTAAAATTTTTAGCAATAAATTTTTTTTTAATTTTGCCATGATCGCTGTCGCATTCCATCCTGGAATGACCAGGCACCATAAATTTGTGGTCCAGGGTTGATATGGAATTTTCATTACTTCTCATTATCGACAAGCACATTGTTAAAAATTATGTATTTTTGTTTTGACCTGTGCATGAGTCGCTGTACAAGACGACATGTGAAATATTTGATATAGGCTAGAGGTATAGACTATTTGGCGTAGTCCGTGGAACACACAAAAAGCAATCTTGTTTCGTCCTCTTTTTGCCATTGCCGCATACCACAGAAAACATGAAGCGACTCCTGTTTTCATGTTGTGCATGGTCAGATTAAATGTCCATAATTGTCGTTTATAGAAAGCCACTGATGTTTGCAGAAGTGGAGTTGGCAAGCACGCCTGTAAATAAAATGCAATTGAAGTAAAGTTTGGGTCATTCTGACTCTTCTGCTTGTCTGCCAATTTCATTGCATAAGTTAATTCAGCATTTATGTGATGATTCTCCCTCCTTTCCAGTAACAATTCCTTCTCGGTAGCGTAAGCGTATGATAATTTTATTTTAATTTCGTCACATGTATGACAAGTATCATTTTTAAGATTTTTTATTTTTATTCCTGAGTTACGAAAGGCGTTGCCATAAATAGTTAAACTGACTGGGTCATCTACTTCTTGTTTATATTTACTGTAAATTTCCCCCAGCGTGTAGTGAGGTGGCAAGTATTTTTTAGTAGTCTCTTTACGACAGTAATGACTCTCATATGCTGGAAGAGATGCAAGGTGCTGATGCACCAAAGCCATTCTGTCTGTGGATATTTTATTTCCAGGGATGTGCTTACCTCGTTTATCGGGGGTGGTGACTGAAGCATGGGAAGCCTTTTTTTTTGTTGGACAATGGTCCATACAAACTTTACTGTCTCGCCAAATATTGTAAGAAAACAGCTCTTACAGACTTCGATCCTTTGGCCCTAAATCGGAATATTGTAATGAACTAAAGTTGTCCTTTTCTTCTGTTTTTCAGGCGTATTTCGTCGCGTCCTTTTACCCTGGTTTAGATTATCACCTGTATTTAAGAGACCGCACAGATAGGCTGCCCTTCGGTCACGTGTCTTTAAATTCCAATAGGCAGTGAACATATTTTTTTGATCTTCAAGTGAAATTTTCTCATTGCACTTTTTTCTGCAAGAAGGCAGTGGTAGCCAAATTCGCCCAGCAACTTCCATACCTTGCCCCGTAACATATGCTAATCCTTGATTTCGTGATAACTTTTTTTTTTTTTTCTTTCTTCTCTAGTATCACCTTTTGAGCCTCGCTTTTTAACATTTTCTTGGGAGAGATTTTTCTCTTTATTTATTTCATCATTGACGATCTGAGGAAGTAAGACTGGATCTTTAGCGCCAATATTCTCGTTTTTCTGTACATTGCCAATGACTTCTTCATCGCTGGTCTCCGGAAGAAAGGTGGGATCTTTATCACTGTCAGCCTCATTTTCTACCAAATATTTTACACTATCATTAAAGATTCCTGGTAGGAAGGTAGGATCTTCATTATTATCACTTTCGAAGATGATCCTTCTGACAACTATAGCTATCTTCTTTTGTTCTAGCTGGCATAGTCCGGTTGTACTCGTAGATGCTTCTAGATCTGAAAACCAAATAAAATATGATTATTAGTTTTTAGCAGACTGTGTCACAAAAATAATTTTTTAAAACAAGAAAAGTTATGATTTAGCCGAAATTAAAAGTTAAATTCAATATCATTTATTAAAGACTGCAACAGATTTGTTGGAACGGCGACTAGTTTAAATTTAAAAATAAAACCAAAATTAGAACAAAAACTAAAACTAATTTAACATTTTTTGAAATAAAAATAAAGAATATTTTTCAAAATAAACTACTAATATGTACTTTTGAAGTAACTTATAATCATATGAATCGCTGAATCTTCCGAGTAGTTACATTTGAAATTTAAGATGGATATACTTTTCTAATTCTTAAAAATAGTGATGTTCTATGTAACATGTTTCTGACATTATTATCACTAATCACATATTCAAAACCAAAATGTTCAGCACAATCGGCTGATTTTATTGAGTCGAACAAAAACAAAATCGTGCATATACTGATATAAGTGAAAAGAATTTTTATTTTATCAGAGTGTGATAACAGACAACAACCTAACCTAACTATTTAGGTAGGTACTTATTTATAAATAGTTATAAATAAATTAATAGTGTTAACTTCAACCATAACGAGTAGCTACCTATAATTAGTTATATAGTTTTAAAATTAAAAGTATATCAATAAAAAGTCAGGCTTACCCAGCTTTTTAACATCTGCCATTGGTTGCACTAATTGCATAATTTTTTGTGATCTTGACACAAACATTTTTCTTTAAATGAGTACAAATTATTAAGTAAGTATTTAATATTACAGTGCTTCTTTTATTTATTATTCCTATTTATTTAAAATAAACATAACACCAAACGTTAAAACAAACTCAAATATAAAGCACAAAATTAACCTCCAACAATACGTAACCTTTACGTGGCGCCAAGCACAAGTTCACAGCACACTCCTACGAAGGTTAAATTCATCTATGCGCATGTCATTGAAAGCAGGGTTGCCAGAGTAGTATTGTCTTAAACAAGGGCGGACAAACGATACCAAACCAAACCAAAATGTGCTTTTACTAACTGGAAACAAGTCAACCAGCCAGTGATTATGCTGAATTCAATACTGTCCGTAATGTAACAAGTCCACTTATTTCCTTTTGCACAAATGAAGTTTTGCATATATTTAACTTATTACGTTCTACACGTAAAAAAATGTAGCCTTTCAGTGGTAGTAGACTTGTCTCTTTTTGCACAGAGTTAGACATTGCTAAACCAATGAATATCACATGATAAAAAAATCCGAAAAATGACTTATTACCTTTTGCACTGAGGCCGTCCATATTAGGCGTTCTACGTCGCGTTTATTTAATAGGTTGCAATCTACTGAGAAAATAAACGATAAATAAATGACAACAAACCGTTTTTAGGTAAAAACTATTCAAAAACATATTCATTAATGTACAATAAACTTATTTCTTTACTATTATATAAATAACAGTATAATCTTTTCCAGAACGGTTTGCCTAAATAACAACCTCTATTTTCAAATAAAATGACCTGGAAGATTTACATAAATTAGTTATTCATTAACTAAGCGAGAAAAACCTGTTTCTCGCATTTTTAAGGGACTTCAAAGAGGTATATAGATAAGGTATTTTTTTTAATTTTTGGTTAGCGAGAGTGCATAACTTTTCCAGCTTATAGAATCATTGGCAGCTTTTCTCTAATAATTAAGGTGCATAAATTCTTTCTATAATAGTAATTAATATTTGGCTGTATCTTTTTGCAAATAGTTGGTGTGCATGTATTCTGTTAATTATTAGAGTCCTCTTTATTTTTACATTATTTTATTTTGCTCCAAACGTTTATTACTTGTGAATAAATATTTCTTTCCGCAAGACTTCTTGCGTTTCATTATTTTCTGCAAATCCTTCAGATTTTTTTAGATAGCGATCGATAGACAGACACACTATATACAGAGATAGACCGGATCCTCGTGGTAGACCACATACCCTAGTAGCACCTAGTAATGTATAGATTCAATATTAATAATTCTGCCATGATTTTATTCTTTTCTTTATTTTTTTACAATTATGGCGCAAAAAACTTAAATAAGCAAAATAGGCACATCTAAAAGCGACACATAATTTCTAAATAAGTATGTTTTTGTTTGAGGAACCGAATGCAAGGAAAAGTGGAAAAACTTAAGAGCTGTATTTGTGCGACATATGAAACCAGCGCCAAGTGGCTCGTCAGCTAAATCAAAAAAGCCTGACTACCTTACTGATGTAATGCAGTTTACTTTACTATATGTAAAAGTTCTAAATTCCGCGACGACAGGGAATTTTCCAAGGCGACCAGAAAAAGAAATACGCAATGACCAAAAAGAATAAGTTTGGGATGATGATTCACAGACAGCACAGTCACTTCCATCTCCAAAATCCGTTTCCCTACCAGCTTCGTCTCAAAATTCTGATTCATTGTCAGTGTCATCTCCCCAGTTCTTTCCTCCTGAAATTCCACTTCCATTATCACCGGTCATCAAAATTACTCATCTTCAAAGCGCAAAGATAGGAATAAAAAGTCAAAAGATGGTTCAGATGATGAATATTTCAAATTAAAAAAAAAAAAACAAAAACTTGAAGCCAGCATGAATCCCGTGCAATAATGACAATAAGATGTTTGCGTTGAGCTTGCTACCCGATATGAATATGATGTCATGCCACCAAACAAGAATATTTAAGCGAAAAGTCATCGACTTAATGGACCATATATTACACAATACTTAGAATATTTTAATCCCAAACTAAAGTATTTCTACAGATACACAAGCCTCGACAGGGGTCGAATCTGCATATTTACCGATCCAAGCGATAAGAGAAGCAAATATCCCGTCTCTTCACAGTACACAACATCCACAAAAAGTCTATTATGAACTTGTAGAAAATATAATGAATACAAATAATACTAATGTTTAATTTAACTACCGATATCTTAGTATTAGTAGTTTAGTAGTTTAACTCATCTTTTACCAAGGGTAATAAAAACGAATATAATTTGACAAAAGTAGTTTTATTCATTAAAGTCAAGCCTAATTAAGAAAAAAATATAACAACAAAATTTTTCATGTTCGGAATTTACAAAAAAAACACTAGTGCGTAAACGCACCACTGGCTAAATACGTTAACAATGGTATTGCGAAAAACAGTTGGCGTGCAAATGAACTTTGCACTTTTGGCACGTATATACTGTATGTATATGGCACACTCTACAACGTCTACGCTTTTCCTGTTTAAAGATATGAATATCCAATGAATAAAAAGGATTTTAATATTTTTGACAATACCAAACAAAAAATTCAGTATTGAAGGTAAAAAAGTATGTAAACTTGTTATGGTTGTAAAGTAAAAAACCAGATAAAATATACAAAAGTAATTAAATAAAATCTATTTCTTTTCTAAACTTTTGGGCTACTGTAAAGTACCTATGAGAAATGGGAGCAGGTCAAATAATCATAAAGATTTACTGGGCTACTAAAAAGTACCCGCTGCTCTAGTTTTTGTTAAGGCGTTAATTACTTATTCTGCCTTACTTTGGGCTACCCAAAAGCACCCTAATTGAGACAACCAATATAATATCTTTTTTCCAAAAAGCGTGTAGAATGTATAACATAACATATCAATAGGTCAAATAATCATAAAGATTTACTGGGCTACTAAAAAGTACCCGCTGCTCTAGTTTTTGTTAAGGCGTTAATTATTTATTCTGCCTTACTTTGGGCTACCTAAAGGCACCCTAATTGACACAACCAATATAATATCTTTTTTCCAAAAAGCGTGTAGAATGTATAACATAACCTATAAATACCTTGGTCACTTTCTTCCAAATCCTCCCTTAACTTTGCCAATTTCTGTTGTAACTTTTCATATTTACGCCTCTTCCGGGATACACTATCCTTCTCTGATAACCCTTTTAGCATTTTTAACACTTTTTATAACAATATTCGGAAAACACTTATGATCAACACCGCACAGAAAAAAACAGTGATTCGCGCCTAGTCACCTGTCAAGAAGCTGGATATCTTCTTTTTTCTTCTTCTTCTTTAAACTGTGGTCAACCTCCAGAAAATACCACTACCATTAGTACAAATGTTCGAAATGTAATGTGATGGACAATCAGATAATATTCATGTTGATCAGTGATCGTTCAGGTAAGATTCATGTTGAGCAGTGATCGTTAGGCTGATATCTCTATCGAATAAGATTTTTTTTATTATGGTTTGGTTATACTGTACGAATGGTATATGTTTGTTGTAAAGAGCAGGTGTATGCTTGATGTGAGATCCATGTATTGATCGGCCACAGTAGACTTGTATATTATGGTGAATGTTTGGTGGTTTAGTCATACTGTAAGAATGGTATACGTTCCTACTCGTTTTATTTCTGGCGATAGCAGCTACTGTACGTTATATCCATTTCAATACAGAGAGGGGGGCTTTTTCGGTAAGGTCTGTTTTTACCCCCTACCCTTTCATTTAACGTGTTACATATAGTAATCTAGCCAATAGAAACGTTGTAGTGCCGTTTTGGTATTGTCTTTGCATTTTAACATATTCATTATCCTCTGACCTTTCGTTTGACGCCTCGTACTTTACAATCGAACCATTAACAATAAATATATGATCTGGTGCCGTTTTAGCATTGTCTTTGCGTTTGTTTTTTATTTTAACATATTCGCTACCTTTTCATGGATACCTTGCACGATGTTGTACGTTGAGCCGTTTAGATGTTACAAGCTTAGTATCCTTCTGGCATTGTCTTTTGCGTTTGTTTTTTGCCTCAACGTACTTCCCGTCTCCTCGCCGTTCCAACGAGCCCACGTACGTCACATTCGAACCAATAACAACGGAGATACGATATAGCACCGTTCTGACACAGTCTTTGCGTGTGATTTTTATCTCAAGTTCTCCGTCCCCTCCGCTTTCCAACGATACCTTACACGCCACGATCCGACAAGCCGTTTTACCCCCACCAAAAGCGTCAAAAATGACCAGAATCGACCTTAGAATTTCTTATGGAGATTTACATGGGAAAAGGACCGATTTTGCGCTCGTACTCTCACAGCCCTTTTACTTAAGTTTGAAGGAAATTTTAGGTTGGACGTTTTTAACAAAAAACAAAAATCTGAAAAAATTTTCGATAAAACATACTTCTGTGGTTTGGAATCTTTCAGATAAATAAATAATGTCATATTTTTATAAAAATTTTATTGATTCAAAGAAACAAAATTATAATGTTTTGCTTGTAAATTTAAAAAACGTTTTAATTATTGTGGGTATCTACCTCAAAATCTAGAACTGGAACATTAAATCCATCAACGTCTTCGACTACATTAGCACCTATAAAATGTTCATAAAATGGTTTTTTTTAATGGCATAGGCAAGTGCCATACAGCCAGTCACAACATGAAAATATTCTACCCAGAAAAAAAAAATTAGTAGTACAATATAAAAAGATAATATAAAATTCAAACTTAAGTATCCTTACAAATTTGTAAGTATGGACACTCGTTTCTCGTCTAGGGACCCATCAAGACATTGCTTTTAAGACAAACTAGATTAGGTCATGGATAAAAGGTAATAAAAAATGAGGTAAAACAGAGGTTAGGATTCTAATTACAGTTAAATATTGAGCTTACTTTCGCAAATAAATTCCATCAAACATTCATTTACAACTCTTATATTTAGAGATAGCAGATAGCACATATTGTACGGAGGAAAAATTTTGATGTTAACTAAATTTTTTATTAGATCTTCAGTTTGTTTTGTGTATTTTTACATTCGAAGAAAATGTGATTTAGATCCCCTTCTTTTTGACAGTCTGGACATAAATTTGAATTTACGATTTTTAGTTTGGACAGATGACTAGGATAGCAGGCGTGTCCAAATTTTATTCTAATTATGGATGTTATATACCTTCGTGGAACAGAATAATTTTTGAACCAATAATCATTAGGGATTGAAGGCTGTATAGAAGCATATTGCGAGGAAGAATGCGTACTATATATATGCCAAGATTGTTTCCATTTACTATTGATATTATTTTTAATTATTGTTAATGCGTCTTGTCTACAGATTTGGTGACTAGCTTGCGTTCCGATATCAATGGCCTTTTTAGCTAATAGGTCAACATGTTCGTTGTATTTAAGACCTATATGTGCTTTAACCCACAAAAAATGAACAACTCTTCGGTTTTTATAAATGTCATAAACAAGTTTTTTAATTTGAAAGACATATATATTTGAGTTATTACTAGGAAAATTTAAAGTTTCAATGGCTAACATAACAGACAATGAGTCAGATACTATTGTAACAGATGTATTCTGAGTGTTTTCAAAGTATCTTAATGCTTCATATATTGCTACAGCTTCAGCACTTAAGATTGAAAAACTAGGATTTAATCGATAAAGTTTTTCTGTATTAGTTGATGGAATGTAGAAAGCACATCCTGTACCAACAATAGACTTTGAGGCATCCGTATAAATAACTAAAGAGTCTGACAGACTAGATAAACAGGACCTCAAAATATGCGAGCTAACAGAAGAATTTACATGGTAATTCGGTTGTATCACAGTAATGGGTTGCAAGCACGAATAAAAATGTTCGATGTTAAGATTATCCTCTGATTTAAAGTCGTAATCAAAATTTGTCAGGCTTCTAAAAGCCTCACAAAGTGGAGGTGAGTTCTTAAGTCTCCAATATCGATTAGTTAAATCTTCTTCGTTAAATTTTCTGATATTTGAATAGAGAGTAGTGTTACTATTTTGTATATTAATACCAAACTTTTGACTGAGGTATTCTCTTCTATAGCCCAAGGGATTTTCAAGAGCTTCCACATGTAGAGCATTAATTGGCGTCGATTTCATGGCACCTAAACAAATACACAATGCTGCGTTTTGAAACACATCTATTGTTTTCAGAATATGTTTACTTGCTGAACCATATAATATGCATCCATAATCGATAATTGACCTAATATAAGATCGGAAGAAAAGCAAAGAAGTTTCCACATCTGCACCCCACCATGTTTTTGTAATTGATTTGAGGAAATTTAGACCCTTCTTACATCTATCTAACATAAACTCAACGTGTAGTTTCCAAGTTAACTTACGATCGAGAGCCATTCCCAAATATTTAATTGAAGAACTGAAATTAAAATCATACCCATTCAATTTTACCTGATTTAGTTTTGGCATATTGTGTCGAGTGAAGATACTAATACTTGATTTACCTGATGCAATTTCAAACCCATTTAGTTTGAACCAATTTTTGGATCTATCATGTATTTTTTCTAAAGTTTGAATGCAGTTATCGTATTTTTTGGTGGAAGAATACATAAGAAAGTCATCAGCATACTGTATTATTTTAAAGTTGATATTTTTAATGAAAATCTTATGTAAATCTGCAGTATAGATATTAAACAATGGAGGGCTTAAAACTGATCCCTGCGGTAGTCCCTGTTTATTATAACGAGGACCTATAAGTTTATTATTGTTTGTTCTCAGGTAAATTTTTCTGCAGGAATAAAAGTTAAGAATAGTGTTTACCAATTGTGGTGGTATATGAAAATTTTTTATTAATTTTTCCATTACAATATCGAGACAAACACTATCATATGCTCCTTCTATATCTAATACTATTGTCGGTAAATAAATATTTCTTCAGAAGGAGTTCTGAATGTCCGTTACCAATGTGGCAAGTGCATCTATGGTACCACAGCCTTTTCTATACCCAAACTGCAAATCAGGAAGTAACTTCTTTTTATCTATCCACCATTCCAATCTATGTTTAATCATCCGTTCCAAAGTTTTCAGTACACAAGACATAAGTGAGATAGGTCTATATGAGTGAACGGAATTAGGATCTTTCCCTTGTTTGAGTATGGGGATAATGATTACATCTTGAAATTGAGCTATTACTGAATTATTCATGATTATATCATTAAATATTTCCAATAGTAAAGTTTTGGCACTTTTGGGAAGATATAGTAACATTGGATATTTAATATTCTCTAAACCTGGACTAGTACTATTTCGATTTTTTAAGGCAAATTCCAATTTTAAGGTATTAAAAGATTCTAACAAAAATGATATTGCTTATTGAAAGAATAGTCAAAAGTTTTGAAATTTTTTACAGACGGTGGAGCAATTTGATCAAAAAATTGTTCTTCTAAGGAATCGTCAAAACATTTTATAGAAGAAATTGGTTTTCTGTTTAATTTTCTAGCTTGATTCCATAAACTTGCTGATGGTATATTTTTATTCAACTTTGAGCACCAATCATTACTACATTCATTATCCCACCAAGGAGGCGGAAGATGATTTTTAGTAGTGAAAGGTTTAAAAGCAGGTATTGCCTTTTCTGCAGCCTCATTTATGCTATTAATAAGAAAGCAATACTTTTCGCCAGTGTTTTCAAATTTCATATTATTCTCAAAGAGAGAGTCTACAACATCTGTATACAGTTTCCAGTTTGCTTTTTTAATATTCCATTTACTTTTAGGTAAAATTTTTTCATTTGAATGGGAGGCGTTAGCAACTGTTATTAAAATATGTGACGATATTTGCTCAATTATGTTTAAAGATTTATGCAAATAAAATTTACTCTACTCTACTCTACTCTAAAATATGGTAATGGTTCGAACCAAGTGTATCTAAGAAAACAGTCCATGTAATTTTTTTTGGAATATCTGAAGAACTGAAAGTAACGTCTAACATAGAATCATTAACACCAAGCCGATTTAAACATGTAGGTCCACCAGTGTTCAATATTACTAACTCTAGATCATCTGCTACTATCTCTAGTTGCTTTCCAATATTATCATTTTTTTTAGATCCCCATAATACATTATGTGCATTCATGTCTCCACCTATTATAAGGGGAGCTTTTACTTGAGAAAAAACTTTAACCCAATCATCTGT